GATGGAACCTAATTCAGGGAATTCCAGAGGAAAACCTGCTCCAGCCTGCAAGAGACCAGAGACTGGCGTGAAAGTTCACCTTCCAGAAGGACAATGGCCCTAAATACATAGCCGAAGTAACACTCGGAGTAGTTTCAAACCAAGAACATCAATGACCCAATCAAAGCCAGACCGTAGCCTGATGGAAAATGTTACAAGACTAATGGCTTTTCCTCAATTGTCCCCATCCAACTGGACAGAGCTGGAGCACTTTTTCCAGGAAAAAATGGGCAGATGTGGCAGGATCCAGATGTGCAAAACCCACAGAGACTTATCCAAGAAGACTTGCAGTTATAATTCCTGCCAAAGATGCTTCTATTTAATATTGACTCAGAGGCAGGGGATTAATGCTTCTGCAATCAACAATTGCTTGTTTGTTTTTACTGATGTAACTTTTTTGCCACAATAAAAATATTTTGCACCTTCTCCGTACAAATCTTGTGTACATTGATGGTAACATTGCCAATTCAATCCATTTCAGTTTCAGGGTGTAACACAGCAAAATGTGGAACAGTTAAACAGAAATGAAAACTTCTGCAAGGCACTGAAGATGCCACCTTCACTGTGTTTATAATTACTAGAGGGAACAGAAGAAATCCTAGAGGCCCATTTCTGGAGGCCCAGTTCACCACTTCTCCACAACACAGCCTCTTTTTATTAACTGTTTCTATAATCTGTGTTTAGAAACCCAGACTGCTGAAAGCACAAGGCAAACTTAACTGACGACAGCAGTAAAAGTTCTATAGAAATGCCTCATCTGAGATCCAGCCCAGTCAGTGCTCCTCTGGCAAAGGTCCCCTGGCATCCTTCAAAAGTTCTGCATCTTCCAAACTGTCTGCTCGAGTGCCAAAAGATTGCTCTGCCTTGAACACATTACAGAGCTTTCAAATAAGGCAACACTCAGTAGTGAAACAAAATTGGTTTCCCCCTCTAAAACAGTGATGCTGCCTTCCCCTAAGCATGAATGTTTCATTAGCAGTGCACAATATACTTGATGCAACAGCAATATCTAGGGGTGTGTGGGTAGACCTAGGGCTCTCCCCACGGACAGCTCTAGTTAACAGATAAAAGAAAGGAATGCCCATATCAACATTCCAGTTCTGGACTTAACAGGAAGGTAGAAAGATGGCGAGTCAACTTCCATTGCTTCAGAGTTTGGATACCAATTTAAAGCCCTCAGTTCCATTTAAAAGTGCAAATGCTGTGGAAGAACTTTGGTTAGTATTATAATGCATGATCAGCACTGGAAAAATTCAGTTCCTAGTATCTCTAGCTAAAATGGTCACATCTAGCTGAAAACGTGGAAGAAGTTGTTACCAGACCAAGCAGCATTGGCCTACATAGACAAATGGTCTCCTTGGAGTATGGAAGCCTCAAGTTGGAAAATGTGTCTGTGTGTGTGTCTGTGCATGCATGTGTGTTGAAATATGAATTAGCCTCAAATTCAGTGGAGGAAGGCATTTAGGTTGCAATTCTAAAGACATTTATCTAGAATTAAGCTCCCACTGAACGCACTGGGATTCACTTCTAGGATTAAGCTAGGCCCACACTGCAAGTAAGTTTACTTTGTTCTCCCAATCTAACACTCCAGAGTTGGCAAAACAAAATACTAATGCAACACAAAAACAAATATATACCTCTATGGCCAGCCAAAATCTTGCTATGCTTGTCAACACCTTGTCTCAAACCGGCAATCCTCTCTTTTTAAAGACAGGTCTGATATCAACAGCATGTTTTGATTGGCACTTCAAAACATGTGCTTCCTCCACCTGCTTCTCTGCCAACTGTCCCAACATTTTCATTAGTCATACACTCAATGCAGCTTTTGTTTACTGAGCCATCCTGAAGCCTCGCTGCAGCCCTCAGCACAGAGAAATTTAGGGAATTACCAGGAGGATAAAAAAAGAATAATGAGGCTGCAATGACTGATTCATTAGTAAATCCTAAAGTTACAAGGAGCAAGCCTCATTTGGCAAAGCATGGCTCTCCCCACCACTTTGTCAATATCTACAGGGTTGTGCTGTGTTGCTGTATGCAAACTTACCTGTGAGTGAGTGAGTCCTCTTGAAAAATACCATATTGGGAATGACTTTTAATCAAACAAGTAGAGGCAATGTGCCAATGAAAAGAGCCAGCACAATATGCTGTTTAAAGTGAGATTGGGACAGACTGAATTTCACATCCTTGCTCAGCTCTGAGACTCACTGGGTAAATTGGGAAACAGATCAACAAAAAGAAAACATATTCTGGATCACACCAAGCATCCATCCAGTCCAGCATTCTGTCCACCCAGTGGCCAACTGGCAGGAAACCACAAGTAGGACATGAATGGAACAGCATCCTCCATCCATGTTCCCCATCAGCTAGTATACACAGACACACAGCCTCTGTTATTGGAGGCAGTGACTAGCCATCAGGACTAACAGTCACCGATGCAGTGCCTCTTTAAGTATTCACACACCCCTTTGAGTTTTCCACATTTGCTGTGCTATAGTCTGGAACTGAAATGGGTTTAACTGGCACTACCACCCTTTGATGTACATGAGATACTCAACACTGTGAAAGTGCAAAATATTTTTACCCTGGCACAAAAGTTAACACCGGTCCAATGTGTTCATCAAGTGGTAACAATGCCAATAAATCCATTTCAATTCCAGATTGTAATGCAACAAAATGTGGAAAAATCAGAGAGGGGTAGTAATACTTCTGCAAGTCATTATGGACTGTAAAAGGGACAGAAGAATTATGTCCCTGTGAGCTCCCAGAAGGATGGGCAGAATGAAAAATATAGCACCCAAATAATACAAATAAATAAATATTTTAATAAATATAAATAATAATCCTTCACACCCAAACGTCACCTGTCCTCCCAGTCAGGTGATGATTGGATGGCAAGAAACTATGCCCATGGTCCCACCGGTGTGGTTCCTCTATCCAAATGTTATCATAGCAGAGTGGGAAGTCCTCCCCACACTTTGCTGCTGCTTATGAATCATCCTATCAATGGAAATGGCATGATTTGTGCATTCACATATAGAACTTGTAATATACATTTGTATGCAGGCAGGAGAGCCGAGAATGTAACCAGCTAAGAAACCTATCAAAACTCTGTGAAAAAAAGAGCAGAGGATACAATGCCCTAAATATCTCAGCTACATGGGCGGCCTTAAAAAAGCACTCTGAAGGCTACACAAATAAGGTGGAGTGCAGCAGTTCTAAACCCAAAGGCCTTCGGTCCCTGCACTGGAATTCCCACCTTTCAGCCTTAGTTGCATTTCTGTTGCAAAACACCCAGCAACTACCTAAGGCACATACAAGTGGAGCATGTTTTGGCACCAGGCACATAGATTTCATGCACCTGATCAATGCAAGCTACCTGGCGACCATGACAATCCCTGTAGTGATTCCTCTTAACCCAAACAGACTTGGTGATTGGCAGGACCAGCATGGGTAGTTCATATACTGATATCAGTGATTCATTGAATAAACACTAGCACAACACATTTTATCATGATGCTTTTTGTACGTTGTTAAGTTGTGGAAATAGCTCTACCAAAGGCTGCCTCTCGGCCTTCACTCTACTGGCACTAAAAGGAACTTAATGACCAATGTCAAGGGAAATGTCACTCTAAAGTTTTGCTATGCTATTCCTGCTGATTAACACTGCTGGGTAGCACTGAAGTGTCACTCTTTGCCTTAATGTGGTGAGAGAAAAAGAATCCACCATGGCATTGACTAGATGATAAGGTGAGGTGGAGCAATACAGATAATGAGGCAGGTCTATGCAGATACAGAATCATACAGCTACAGCTTGCAGAGCAGTTAGAGAACGAACAAAATCTGTTCCCCCTCCCCCTGAAGAAACTGAGGTCACCAGGAGCAAATTTAGTTTGCGTTACAAAAATGCAATTGCTAGGGTAGGGCCAAGGCTGCTGATATGCCTAAGCCTAGGTCCTTGCTCAGATACAGTGAAAAGAACACCTGCCACCGCCCTTCCCCCACCCCCACGGCATGTCTGTCGCTAAAGCATGTCAAACAACGTCTCATGACTTACTAAAAGCGACACAACCAACAAGAAGACAATTCCTGTCAGAATGTTCTCACACATACTAGGCAATGTTACCTAAAAGCAATTGCTGCAGAACTGTAAACCAGCAATTGCTGCTTTGCAGAAAGGCAGAAAGCAGTAAAACATTAACACAGCTAAAGCCGATCTTTCAAATATCTGCTTGTCCAGTAAGTCACTGTTAACTATGGTCTCTCTCTTGCTCCTTCAGCTCAGCAACAATTTCCTTTTGGTTTAATATTCTTTGCTTCTACTGGCCTGCAATTGCACTGAAGTGTCTGGGTTTAACAGGTAGGGAGGAACTCAAGGGTAAAGGCTGTCTGGTTTATGCATCAGTAGGTAAGAGAGAAACCCACCAAGCTCAGAGGCTCTCACCAGCCACAATACAACTGTCAGGTCAAGAGCATGATGGGTGAGGCCCCTGTGGGGCAGCTGCAAAAGAAACTTTGCCCATTGATCTCCAGAGCAGGCAGCTGACAAACTTCATCTTTCTGGGTACACATCAGGGCTATTCACAGGCACAGTCACTGGGACTCTAAAGGCGCTTTGGATTTATTTTTTTTTTTAAATAGAAAAAAGGAACTTTTCTGCAGAGGGTCCTGCTACAAAATGCTTGGGCTGTTTATTCAATTCTCACATTATAAAAGAGCTGCTAACATAAGCCACTGGCACTTTGAGAAAGAATGTCTTGATTCACACCCATTCACAAAAGAATCATATCCCCACGTTAGTGTGACTGGCTGTGGAAGTGGTTTTGCTTCCTTCACCACACTTGCGTTGCTTTCTTTTTCCTACATTTGTAGTTAGGGAAAAAGAGTATTTAAAGTGAGACAATGCAAACTGAACAAAATGATATCATTTAGTATACCAATATTGAAAAGGGAAATATAATTACCTGGAGTAGTCCCCTTTAGCTTCCTATAATTTGGGGGAAAGCAATAATGTTAAAATAGCATTCTTCTTGCAATGGCTTTGTGTTAAATTTAGGCATTACACCAGTAACAGTTAAAACAACAAGAACAATTCTTGTTTTGAGGGTAGCTCTAACCCTGCATGCAATGCTAAAGGATTTACTACCTTTTAAAAAATGCAGAATGAATCCTTTGCCAAGAAATATGTTTAGTCAGAAACTGAAATCACAAGGAAGGTCAGCCCATATTAACAGTCTGGGCTCATTCAAACACCACCAAAGTTGAGAAATTCACAGCCAATTATCACTTAACCGCTGAATTTTGGCAATGAAAATCCAAGTTTCTCATTAAGAAAAAATTACAGAAGAAACATAAAAACACAGCAAAGTATATGCAGCAATGAAGATTACTCACTGGAAACAACTAATGTGGCAAATATGGCTTTCATCAGGATGAATGTAGAGCATTTAAAAAATGATATTGTATTGTGTGGGAGACTTTCTTTTTTCCCTTTTTGAAGTGGAAATGATGACAGAAGTCTAAATGTTTCTGCAGTAATGTTCAGCATCAATACTGCATTTCACTGCATTTTTTCAGTGATGTATCATTACTTGCATTATTGAAAAACATACCTATGCAAGAAATATGATGTAATAAGGTAACCAATTAAAATCAATTTATGTGTCACCCCACTTCACTCCCCAAAAAAACCAAAAAACATTTTCCTACTAATTTACCCTATATGTTTACCTGCTAATACCATGGCATCATCTCAATATAAAGGCAGATTTGCAACGTTTTAACCACTGAAATATTGCAGGTATCAAAGCAGAAATGAATATGCATAATATATAGCAAATGCATAAACATCAGTGCAGGAATGTGAAAGTTTGGGAACTAAACACATTTTTAAAAACACTCTATAGATTTAACATACACCCCAACAGAGTTGGGAGAAACCTTACCTGTAAAATCAAAGAGGCTAATCTGAAGACAGTCTCGCTTTCCACCTCAATGTGCCCCTGTTTCAATAAAGAGGAACATATTAAGTTGACACAGCTAAACTCTATAGCACTGGGACACCCCTCCCCACCCCCAGCTACACTGAATCTGCTACGCTGTTACTAGTCAGCACCACCGGTCTTCCTTCGATTGCAGATCATACCATTATGGCAGAAGGGGTGGGTGAAATTTGAGCTGTAAAGTTGGAAAACAGCATAATATTTAACGGACAACCAGAAAAATCATGCTGCCAAAAAGGAGATGCGGGAGACAAGAGGAAGCTGATATATGGATTGAGGGCAACCTTTGATTAATTTTGGCTTGCCCTTACAAATTTAGCACATTTGAACCCTATAGATTCTGCAGGGTCCGTTGGTTGCACTGACTGGATTCTTTGCTAACACACCTCTATCAGCTGAGGGTTCAGCTTTATGTAAATACGGACACAAATGTACAGTGCAGTTCTATGCACATTTACTTGGAAATAAGTCCCACCATCTTCAATGGGATAAGTGCATGCAGGAGTGCAGCTTGAGTCTCCCTTTCTGGTGAGGTTTGTGTGTTTGAAATATTTTGATTCAGCACAAACATTATTTCTAAATGAAAAATGCAACACTTGACAGTAAGATGCAATTATTTTTACAACTATTCTGCTTGCAAAAAATTGCTATAATTTTAATGTTCAAAAGTATTTTCAAAACCTTAAACTTTTTATGTGCACCAGAGTCAGGATGGATAGGTTCCTTGTCTCTCCATTTCATAAACTGGTAACTCAAACTATGAGACGGGTGCAGCGTTGTGGTTGCTGATCATTATTTGTTAATTATTTTACTGATCAGTCAGATTATCTCCCCTTGGGGCAGGTATTCAGGGTATGAAAAGGCAAGTCAACTTAAGAACCAGATGGATGATGTTTTAAGGTGGCCATGTTTTAAAGACATTTTTGCATTATTTTAAAATGGTCTGTAAAGTGTTTACATTGTCTTAGTTTAGGATTTCTGTGTGGCCAAACAAAAGGTGACTTGTAAAATAAATACTGTCTTACATTCTTTTAATTTTCAATCTAAATGCAAGCAAAATAACACTATATTTAAAATACAAACATAACAAACTGACATACAATAAAAATCATCATTACACTACTGTGGTCCGCACCACCAGGACAAGGATACATGTCACAAATAAAAAACCTTCAAACATTTCAGAATGTTCCCCCCCCCCCCAAATCTGCCATGATCATTTGGACAGCTCAAATCCTTTCCCTTTCTTTAAAACATTTCCAATATTTAGCTATACTTAGTCTTTCTGCAGTTATTAATTTGTTATAGATTCTTTATTATTCCAGCTTGATTTGTTTTTTTATCAAACATTGAAAGAAATGCAATCTCAAGGCATATATCCATATTTATTCTTAATATTTTACTTTTTAAAAATTTACTCTTTCCTAAATTTCATTATTATTATTATTATTATTATTATTATAACATTTCTATGCCGCCCCTTGCCGAAACCTCGGGGCGGCTTACAACATGATAAAATACATTGAAATACAATAGTACATAATAAATTACCATTAAATATAAAAATACAAAAAATACATTGATTTACAAATACAAAATTAAAATTATCAGTATAAAATAAAAGTATAGGAGGAGAAAGAGAAGGAAGAAGAAGTTGCCCAGGCCAGATCATATGTTTTAACAATTGAAATGATGTTTAAATAAAAAGGTCTTTTCCTGGTGCCGAAAAACCAGTAACGATGGTGCCAGGCGGACCTCTTTGGGGAGTGAATTCCATAGGTTGGGCGCCACCGCAGAGAAAGCCCTCCTCCGGGTACTTACTCTCCTAATTTCTTTCATGGAGGGTTCCCGGAGAAGGGACTCTCCCGCAGATCTCAAAGGGCGGTCGGGCATATACGGACGTAAGCGCTCGTGCAGGTAGCCAGGACCCAAGCCGTTTAGGGCTTTGTAGGTCATAATCAACACCTTGAATTGGGCCCGGGCTTCAATGGGAAGCCAGTGAAGCTGATGGAGGACTGGAGTCATGTGAGCATAACGCCCCGTCCCCGTCAGCAACCTGGCAGCTCTATTTTGCACCAATTGAAGTGTTCGGACTGTCTTCAGGGGAAGCCCCACGTAAAGCGCGTTACAGAAGTCTAGGCGGGAAGTCACCAGCGCGTGTGTCACCGTCGCCAGGCAGTCGTACTCCAGGTAGGGGCGCAGCTGATTAATCAGCCGAAGCTGAAGGAAGGCGTTCCTCGCTACCGCCTTCCTTATTATATTATTATATATTCTCATTTCCACCACATATGGAAATATGTGCCCACTTCACGACCACATCTCCACCATAAATTGGAGTATTTATTATGTATACAATTCAACTTCACTGGAGTTAGGTACTACTTCCATACAATTCTGTAGAAATTTTACTTTATTCTTACTGATTCACATTTTAATATCCTCTTGTCCAAATATTTCCCTAATCTTCATTACTAATTTTTCTCAAATCCAATTCCTGTGTTACTTTAAGTGAATCCTATTCATCCTGTTCTTCTAATAATATCTAGTAAATTTTACTTACTATCCCTTTCATTTGCATATTTCTTTGTTTTTCATTTTCTAGAATCATATCTTCAAATGTTGTGTGATCCATGCATCTACCTCTTTTCCTTATCCTTCTTTAGTCCAGCTTTCCAATTGAATCACGTTATGAAAAGGTATAATCACCTTTCCCAGTACTGCTTTTATCTTCTCATTTTTATTCATTTTCTGCAGTCAATCTTTTAATCTAATGTTTTCATTAATACCTTTATTGTTGGGCATTCCACACAATCAAAAACTTAAAAAATATCTAGGATCATTATACCAGCTCTGAATTTGCAATCCTGCAGTCATACACTGGAAGATGTCTTCCTTGAAAGTCCCAAGTCTAGTAGTAAGTCTACAGTGTAGATACAACACCCCTATTTGACTGTGCCCAGAGAATACTAAGAAGGGGGAACAAGGACCTCAAAGGTACCCATCAGCCATTAACACCTGGATAACAGACTCAGCAGGAATACAGGTCATTTGCTCACAATCTATCCTGTCATGGTCAGATTTTTCTATTTCGATTATAATCATTATTTCCACATTTGCCTCTGAATATGTAAATCAAAATGCACATTTTATACAACTAAGTGGCCACTGTTGTCTTCTTTTTTGGCAATGTGTGAGTTGCCAATTTATTTTTGCAAGGTCCCCCTCCTCCAATCCAAACCACACAGTCTGCTGCCACATTGCCTCCTTCTAGGCTCAGCAAATATTTTATAAGGTTGCTGCCCTAAACTAAAATTCTAATGAATAAACCTCATTGAAAGTGGAGGTGAATTCTGAGTAGACTGCTTAGGATATTGATGGATGAAATTGCACATGGTTGAACACAAGTATGAGCCCAGGTTTTTAGATCCAAAATCCAATGTGATGTCCACCAAAATATTTGGTTTCCCATTTATTTTAACCTAATATTTATTTTGGATCAACAGGGAGAAATTAAAAGCCATAATTACAAGCATAATAACTGTCTACAGGGAGAGAAGTGTTTGGGTGCTGAGAACAATATACATTACAGGAGGGCAACCTCTGCAGCCCAGAGATGGAGGACTGGAGGTTTTATAAGAAGATGGAGAGAGGAATTCTTTTAACTCAAAACTTTGTTGAGTGATAGCAAGGGGATTTTCTGAAGCTGCAGTTCTCTTGTCCTGGAACCTATTCCCAGCAGCAGGGAAGCTGGTTGCTGTACTCTGTCTCCAGGGTCCTGAAATAACACAAGGAGACATGGCCCTACTGGCCTGGCACCAGGCACAGGGCCATGCCCTGAGGTCATGCAGCATAGGAAGGACAGAGGGTGGAGTCACTGGGCCCTCCAGCCTATTGTATCCACAAGTGGATACAGCTTTGCTATGTGCAAACCTCAAGTTTTTGTATATTTTACTTGGCTTATTGCACACACACGTGTGTGTAAAGGATGGTGCATCTGAAAGTAGGATATTTAGTGTAAAACATGCACAGGATATGCTCTTTCTAGTATTTGTTTACACAGGGCCATGTGCCCTAAATGTTCTGAATATGCAACCATCATTCTTAATCAGTACAAGTATTTATCTTATGTCTGATTATACATGTTCTAATCTAAATAATTATTGATGCAATCTAAATAATGATTCAGTTATATAAAACAGTCTTTGTGTGTGTTTTGGACTTCTTTTGATTTCAAGTGGGAACTAGTTTGTTTATTTTGTTGGACAATAATTTATAAAACTGTAGAATAGCATTAAATCTGTAGAATGCCATAGAATCTGTAAAATACTATTAAAATGCATACAGGTGCCAAACAGGAACAATGAAAATCACAAGCTCAAAGCCAAAATAACCTAAAAAGCTAAAATAGATCTCACCCATACAGAAAATAGCAAGGAAATAATCACATGATGTTATTCTAAAAGTTCTCAAATCCTGTGATTCAGGTGTCTAAAAGGAATTATTTTGAAGGTGACCTGGAACTTATAACTTGCTTATTAACAGATGCAAGACTGGAAGTTACTGTCGGCTTCTTCTAATCTAGTCCAGATGGTACATGGATATCATCAGTTGCTAAGGCTGCATTGGCATGGGAAGTACTCAGTAGATTAGGGCTACCCTGATAACCCAAACGACCTTGATTCAACTTTAAACATGTCTTAAAATACTTTTTATCATACTACCTTGACTGTGAATATGAACAAGTGTTGCTAATTCCATTTGTCAGAAAGGGGGCTCATCTGTGGGAGTTGCCAAACTGGATGTGCAGCATGTTGTTCATGTTGCTGGCAACCGGTGTGTTGCTGTGGTCAGAGGGCTGGACAAGGGGACTGTGGGCTCAAGTCCCCACTTGGTCACAGGGCTCCTTGGATGACTTTGGGCGTCATAGACTTGGGCGGATGAGATGGGAAGGAGCATCATGTCAGCTACCTTGGGCAGCTTAGAGAAAAAGGCAGGATAAA